CGAGTGAAGTGATGTGCTTCTCATTGAAAAACAAATTAAAAATTAAAACGAAAATTATTTCGTTTGATGGAGAGAGAAAGAGAGAGAAGAGAAGTGAAGAGAAATAGAAGTGGACACTTAGTGTTGCTTATGGGGTAAAACTGGAAAATAAAAAAGTTTAGTGTTTGAAAGTTTCATTGAAGCCTAGAGCATTTCCACCGATCCTGAGTCTCTGCATTTAAACGCTACACATTTATCTGTATTTTATTAAATTTAGGCCAATATTATAATCATCATCAAGTTTTTTTTCCTTCTCTATATAGACGTTAACTATTGCTGTTAGTTTTAGGGGTGGGCATAAAAACCGATAAACCGAACAAACTGATCGAACCAAACCAAATCAAACTAAAAAATGAGGTTTTTTTGACCAAACGAAAAAGTCAACACTGAACCTGACTCAAGCCAAAGTCAACGGTTCGGCCTTCGATTCAAAAAATTTTGGAAACCGGTCAACCTGACCTGAATCGAGCATTAATCAATAATATATATACAAATTTATAAATAAACCCAATTCTAGACATGTATTTATAAAAAAACCCAAGCACTATTTAAACATAGAAACACACCCAAAATCAACCCCAAAGTCAACTTTTTGGGTGTGTTTATAAATGAGTTTTGAGTGTGTGTAATGATGGGTTTTGGGTGTGTTTATATGTTTAAATAGTGCTTGGATTTTTTTATAATTTCAACCCCCATTTTGGGTATTTTAGTGAAACTCCCTAATATATATATATACCACTTGGCCTCTGTTTATTGGGTAAAAGAAGAGTTTTACCTGGAGGATGCTTGCACTAGATCACAATCACAACTAAACCTAGCTCCTTTACCTTTCTTTCTCTTTCGTTACACTTTCTCTCAAATTCAATCGACGCCTCTCTCTTACCCTCTACCTCTATCGTCTCTCTCCCGACCTCACCCTCACCCTCACCCTCACCGATCTCTCTCTCTCTCTCTCTCTCTCTCTCTCTCTTCTCTCTCTCCATCTCATCTCCTGTCTCTTTCGACCTCATCCTCTCTCTCTCTCGACCTCATCCTATCTCATCTTCTGGTTGTTTTTTTTTATGTTCTTTTTGCAGGCAGAGAAGCCCACCTTATCAAACAACAACTTAGATATACCGGTTGGAAGCTTAGTGGCAGTTGTTGGCGGCACTGGAGAAGGGAAGACGTCGCTTGTATCAGCCATGCTTGGAGAGCTGCCTCCTAGAGCAGATTCTGGTGTTGTAATCAGGGGAGCTGTTGCTTATGTTCCCCAAGTTTCATGGATTTTCAATGCTACTGTGAGTCGCAGCATCTCTTTTTTGAATGCCAATGATGTTCAATCTGTTATTCGTCTTTTTTTCTTCATTAGTTTTATGATTAAGTTCCTTCAAACGTTTTCAACTATTTCTGACAAATAAATATGAGTTGATATGGGTGAATAAAGCTGTATGGGTTTGTATGATGCCACTGTAAGTTTCTGAACAAGCCATGGACTGCTTTTTTAAATCTGCTGTTTTTTGTAGTGCATGCCCATCATATATTGATGCCACTGTAAGTTTTTGAGCCCTATAAAAATATTTTTGAATATGTAAATAAGAAGTGCTCCTATTTTATATTTTGGTTGATTTTACTTGGAGAGACGTATTCAGATCTATTAAAGCTTGCTCTGAGTTTATATGACTAGGTTTTGGATGAATCATGGAAATGGGTAACTTGTGAGGGCTCAACTGTTTTTCTTATGATTTTTTTGTGGGGCTTTTCCGAGTATAACAAATTCTATCATTTTCATTGATATTCTGAGTTGTTAATATTAAGTTCTTTGTGTTCCTCAGTGATTTGAGTGACAACAAGTTTCACGATACACTCCCGTATCAGCTACCTCCAAACTTGACAAGCCTGTAATGTTCATTCATTAATTTATTCATTCTTTTGTTTTTCGAAGTTAAATTTCTTCGAATTCTTATGTTTTTATCCTTCTTTTTGGATTAATCTAGTTTGCTTTGGTTTTCTTTGTTTTGGAACAGAGCTTATAAGATGTTTTGAATAACTGATTGAGGAGTGTTTTGATCTGTATGTTTGAGTTGATTGAGGTGCTAGAACTTGTTTTGATCTATTTAAATGATTTCAGACAGAAACTGCAGACGCCTTTTTTTTTTTTGTTGTTGTTGTTGAAATTAACCATCGAGTTGGAGTATGATTCTGGTTGTTTGGTGAGTGATTTTTAATTGATACAAGTGTATTTTTTTTATTTTTGTTTTTTGCAGCTCCCTTAACTGATACAATCTTACAAGTGAATCTGTTTGGTATTTAAAATATAATTTGGTGTTTTACTTGTATTCTTTTTGAATTTTTGGTCATCTTCTTTTTCGCCCTGCTTGACTGATGCCCCCCCCCCCCCCCCCCCCCCGTTCAATGGAAAACCCAACCAAAGTAATTTTATGATTAATTGGCTAAGGCCCGCCTTTTTTTATCTACGTCAGAGTTCTTGAACAATAGCGATAAACCCGCCCCAGATTCTCTCTTGGAATATGTGACAAATCCTTTTGCGCGTCCAAAAAGTGACAATTGTCGGAACCATTTTATTAAATGCCCCTTAAGCCCTAAATTAAACTTAAAGACAATTTGACTCTTATTGAAATTTTGGCAAGATCTCCCTTGTAATTGAAACATTTCTCAAATTATAGTACCAGCAAACAAGTATAGAAATAGTCCAAACTTTCAGCATGCGCAAGTTAGAGCACACACGACAGTTAAGACAAACTTTAAGAAACTAACAGAGCAACTAAAGAATTAATTTTACAACTTAGTGCAAATAATGATAAAGGAAAGTTCCTATGGTCAACTTAGGGGAAAGTAAAGAATGATAATGGAAAGTTTCTATGGTGTGGACAACAATGATGCCTCGACATGGTGGTCTCGACTTAGGATATCTAGAACCTAAGGCCATTTCCAATTGTAGGGCTAAATATAGTCTATGGCTAAAAATTTAGCCTCTCAAAATATTAATTTTTTAAAGAATAGTGCAGGGCTAAATTTTTCCATCTCCAGCCATGCATGGTTATATTTTAAGGTCCTTTATATTTTATTATTTTGAAAAAAACTATGGTACAACACTCATACATTCCACAACCATATATTGTTTAATTTAATTAAATTATTATGTTAAAAATAATAATAATAATAATAATAATAATAATAAAGCCAACAAAGGCAATTTTAAAAAAAAATTGGAAGCATTTCAAGGGTCTGACCTTCAACAGTCATGACCCATAATTTTTTATAATTTTTTTAAACAATACCGAACATTTAAAAATGTGAAGACAAAAAAAAAAAAAAAAGGATGGGTTTCAATGTTTGAGCTCCAATGGTCATGAACAAGGCTTTTTTATAAGGGAGTTTCACTAAAACACCCAAAATGGAGGTTGAAATTATAAAAAAACCCAACACCCAAAACACTTTATAAACACATCCAAAACCCATCATTACACACACTCAAAACTCATTTATAAACACACCCAAAAAGTTGACTTTGTGGTTGATTTTGGGTGTGTTTCTATGTTTAAATAGTGCTTGGGTTTTTTTATAAATACATGTCTAGAATTGGGTTTATTTATAAATTTGTATTTTTATAATTGTTTTTAAACAAAATTTGAAAAGATTTGAAAAGATGACCACATTTATTATTATTTTTCAACAAAAAAAAAAAGAAAAAAAAAGGGAGTGGTTTGGTTTGACCTCCAACGTCATTGCCAACAATTTTTTATACTTTTTTCTTAAACACTACTCCACTACAAATTTGGCCTAAGCTGAAGTTGGGCTACATTTGGCCCGGTTGGAAGGCTAAAGGGTCAAATGTGGCCCTCTAAATTTGGCCAAAATTTTGTTTAGCCCATAACTGGAGATGGGTTTTGCATTATTTTAGGGCTGTATTTAGAATACAGCCCATGGCTAGAGATGGCCTAAGGGGCGCAAAACAGAAAATGTGAGTAGACGAAAATAAAGTTTTAAACATGAGTTATATTCGACATACATAACTCCCTCTGTTCAAAAAATAAAGTCATATAATCCTTTGTATATGTACATATATACCAACTAATACTTACAAATATTTCAATTCAGTATACTCATATCTTGAATTCAATTCAGTATGTTTCAAATCTGCAAGCTTCTATCTCAAATACAAGTCAATGAATTCAATTTCATCCTTTTTCTGTATATTATATTAGTTTGTTAATATAATACTATTGTTTTTATATTAAATTAATAAATTCGTTGAGTATATTTAAATTTCTGTTAAATATATATTGTTTGTACTATCACTGATAGATTGTTTTTCCAACAATTCATAGTATATTTGAGAAGAGAAAAACAAAATATGAAAAAGAGGAAGAACCTGCAGCTGCTGCAACAACAACGTCACTCATGGAGTCTCTAGTGTGTAGGATCAGCCTAGTGCTGTAGTAACCGTGAGAGGAATAGAAGTCTGAGAGGGCCATGTCGATGCAGCTCATCCCCATTTTCCCTAACCTGGTTTCCAAGTCAAGAACCACACCCACATTTATCGGGATTGTTGTGTTTTCTGCCGCGGCCAAGGAACTACTAAATAATAAGAAGAGAGGAAAAACAAGGTTGGTAGGATGTTTGAACATGTTTGAATATTCTTTTTGAAGGTTAGAAGGAACTGATGTGCCAACCAGAGAAAATAAGAAACTTATTTATAGAACAATAAACTTGGTTTCTCAGCGTGCTGACGAGGAAGAGGAAAAGAGGAGGAACCCTCTACTTCATGATTGCCTAAGACGGAGGCAGGAGGAAGTTTCCTCGCAGCGCCGACTGCTGATCTGGAGGGAATAGGAAGAAGTAGAGAAGTTTCATCCTCATTCCTGAATAAAATAAGCTTGTATGGTTTTTCTTCGTTTGAATAAATGAAAAGATTGGACCAAAAACAAGGACTTAATTAAGCAACAGATTTTTTTTTTTTTTTTTGTGTTCATACAAGTAATATTGGAGATGGGAAAATCGAACCTAGAGTCACTTGCGGAGCCAGTGCATGCCCAGGTTGGGCACTGGCCCCTCTCAAATATTGTTGTACATACAATTTTATGTTAGTATATTGTACAAATATTATATAAAATTCCTCACAAATTCTTAAATGGCCACTATTTTCTTTGTTTCTCTTTTATTTTCATGTCTAAATTTCTTTTGAATTGCATGTATTTTGTTGCCATAAAATAGTGATATGTTATTCACACAAAAAGTAAAGAAAAAAAAATAGAGAAAAGTGATAAAATTAAGAATTTCTTAAATACTAGCTTGATTTGTCATAAAAGAAAGTGTTTGAATTTTTAAAGGTGTCCCCTCTTATTTAAATTCCTGGCTTCGAGACTGAGAGCTCGGGTGGAGGTATTCTTAACCACTTGAACTATAAACCATGTGCAATTGGACCAGTATTTTAGATTAGATGAACCTATTATGCCTATCTTAATTGGATTAATTATTTATAAATTCTATAAAGAAAATTAAAGAAATTCATGGCGTATACACAGTCAATGATAGAGTTTCGCCCTAGTTACATCCGTACGTAGCTGCCTCTTGACCAAAGGTGTCACAGTCAAGATCGGCGGCACCTCAGCATCTTAAGATCCAGTTCTGTCATGCACCAGACTTGGTCATGAGTCATGACCTCGTTCAATGAAATTTATAAAAATAAAAATAAAAATAAAAAAGCTGATAAGCCCAATGCAAGAGCATCTAATAATAATATTGCTTTAGGTTTAGTAATATACGTGGAAAATAACTTCATTTTAAAAAGGCTTATTTACTATAGTTTCTTCTGAAACTTCGGTCAAATTTTACTTCACTATTTTAAAGTTAAAATGACATACTTAACCCCTTTGACCGTGGTTTCGTGTTCTACTTTACCCTTACAGTGCGTTTGGATGAGGAAATTTAAAAGTACAAAGGATTTCATAAATGACGGAATTTAAAATGAGGGAAATTAATGTTCTAGAATTTGTAAAGTTTCTTGTTTGGGTAACCGATTTAAAACACAGAATTTAACCTTTAATTGTAAATTTATCTTTTTTTAAAACTCAATCTCTCCTGGAACTTTAGAAATGACGACTTTTAGATAGAATTTAGACTTGGGATTTATGATCTCCAAATTCCATGTTTTTTTCCACACGGAATTTCTAATTTTTTTTATTTTTTTATCCAAACACCGGAATTGGTTCATGGCAATTTAGAAATTCTGAGTTTTGTTAAAATCCCAAGTTTATTTCCCTCATCCAAACGCACCATTATAGTTATTTTCATTAATAACTTTATCAGTTTTGATGATGTGGCAGGGCTATTTTATTTTTTTTTATCACAAGTGATGATGTATAAGGGCCCTTTTCTTATTTCAATAGAATTAAATATAAAATAAAATAAAATAATAATATAATTAGTTTCTTCTCCATCTCTCTCCCATGAACTTTCCCTTTCCTAACTTCATCAACGACCACCTAGCCCAAATCCACCCTCACCACCACATGGTCGAGACTGACACTTCCACCAACGCCACCGTTGAAACGGCAGCGCTACCAAACGACAAGCCGTCGTCCGACACGACTACCAGTGCTTCGTCTCTGCCGGCGGAATCGGAGTAAGAGCGCTGGGCCAACGAGGAGGATGACCTTCCCAAGTTGCCCGGGAAGAAAAACGAAAAGCCTTCTACTTCCTAGCCGGAAGTGAACGTTGCCAAATTGAAGATCACCGAGAAGTAGTTCCTCGACGACCCCGAAGACTAATATTAGTGCCGTATGATCTCTCTCTCTCCGAAATTTTCAATTTTCTTTTTAATTAGGGCTTTAATGCAAATTACAATAGGGCTAGGGTTATTGGGTCATTTTGTTAATAATTTTGGGGATTTAAGAAGCCCAGTAAAGTCCAAGCAATTACTTTGCCCATGATTTTGCTCAGACTCATAATGGTCGTTAGTTAGGAGAGAGGGAGGTCATGGGAGAGAGATGGAGAAGAAAGACTTTTATTTATTAATTTATTAATTTTTTATTTTTTTAATTAAACAAGTAATATATTATTTTATTTTTTATTATATATTCTATTCCACTTAAACAAAAAAAAAGTGGGCTCTTCACATGACACGTTATCACTTGTGGCAAAAATACTAAAATAGCCTTGCCACATCATCAAAACTAACAAAATTATTAATGGAGATAACGGTGATGGGTAAATGGAACACGAAACCACAGTCAATGGGGTTAGTGAGCCACTTTAACTTTAAGGAGGTAAAGTGAGATTTGATCAAAGTTTTAGTGGGGTATTACAGTAAATAAGCCTTTTAAATATGGATCGGCTATAGTAAACCCCCTAAACTATGGGGGTTATTAAAGAAGTTGAGGGTCCACTCTAAAATCAATTGGCAATGCGGGGAATAACCCAACTCCTCATAAACCCAGGCTAGGTCTCTTAACTTTTCAAAGTATAACAAATACTCTCAACATGCCTCCACATTTGTGGTAAACTTTCAAACCTAACACATGGACAATATATATTAGGTGACGTGAGAGCATGTGTGTCCATTGGACTTAACACGTGAAGCCTTGCTTTAATACCATAAAGGAAGTTGAGGTACAAACTCATACCAACCTTTAAAGACCCGTTTGCCAATACCCCAACTTATAGAAACCCTACAAATGAGACCGTATGTTATCTTAGTCCTATTTTCCTGTTACCCTTTTGCATGTGCCTTCCCTATTACCCTTCTAATTTATTGACACCTATCTCTACGCCAACTTCAAACATAACAGTCTTAATGCTTTTAATAAAATTAAAACATAAAAAAAATTAATAAAAAGAGGGGAAAAAAAAAAAAAAAAGCCACCACAACCCCACCCACTCACCAGCCCACCACCCAACCTAGATCGCCAACCCACCCACCCAACCAGGTTAGCCATTCCACCTTGCTAACGGCAACCCCTCTCCTAGCGGCCACCAACAACAACCCCTCTTCTCTTCTTTCCCCTCCCTTTTTATCAAGCAACACCAAACTCATAAATATGATATCTTTTTTACCCATGGCCAAAACCAACAATCCTTTCTCCATGTCATTTCCCTTCTCTGTCCTTAACCCAACAACATCAAGAAAAATAAGGAAAAAGAACAACATGGCAACACCAAATGTGAGAACTAGTAAATCCAGATATGGATCTTAAGAATATTGAGAATATGTGTGTTCCTTGTTTTCTTGTCTTGAGATGCAATGAAAATGAAGGCTTTAACATCCTGCAATTTTGAAGGCTTTAACACAACATGGTTCATTGCACATAACATCCTACAATTTTGAAGTTCTTTATGTCATTCTTGTTTAAGCTTCAACAAATGAGATTTACTATGTTGTTGGGGTTTTGAGTTTGGGAAAGAAAATGGTAAAGTGGGAAAAGAAAGAGAGAGAAAAGGAGATAGAGATAATGAGGTGTTTCCAACGACAAGGAGGAGACGGGTTATGGCCAGTGAGATGGGGTGGCTGACTAGGTTGGATGGATAGGGGGGTTGTCTAAGGTTGCAGGGGTGGATGGTGTAACATCCCGACCCAATTTTAACCATTTATTTAATCTATATAAATTATTTGATTTATTTAATTGAGAAATTACAATTTTTCGCTCGGAGTAAGGTCACGATTGTCACTTTTTGATCCGTAAGGATTTTTGGGATTTGAGTAGCACCATTGCGTAGAGCGCGTCGATACAATTTCGTTGACACGTAGTGAGCTCAAATCGGAGTTTTAACAAAAAAAGTTACGATCAATGGAAGTGCAGTGGCACAACCTTTTTAAAAATCGGCACAGCTCTCTCTCTCTCTCTCTCTCTCTCTCTCTCTCTCTCTCTCTCGCACGCAGCACCTCTAGTTGGCCACGTTTTGGCCGGCCACCGTTGGCCACGAGACAGGTACCAAAACGACAGGCTCAGCTTCCTCTTCCCGACCCACCCCACCTTCACCGAAACTCGACTGCACAGCCATCGGAAAAGGGGAAAAACCTTCAGATTTTAAGTAAATTTTTCGTCGTCGATTTCAACTATTTCGGCTACCAAATTTGTCGATCCATGTATGCTTTATCATCCTTTCAACGTGCTCTAGCTGATGGTTGGGTTGGTCAAGATTGATTTTGAAGTATTGAAACTCGTTTTACAACTCAAAGTTTTGGTAGGTTTTTGGCTCGAGGTTCCTGCAAGTTCAGGTTACTTTTTGGTCGTGGTCCAAGAACAAAAGTTGCTCCACTCGTTGTCCTAATCATGTAGGTATAGATATTGATTGGTGTGTCGAGAATTTTCCAGTAACCGAAATTTTCTCAAGACATCCACGCGCTGTCGGTGAGTGTGGCGGCGCATGGGCCTTGTTTGGGTGACCCATTTGCTCCTAAAATGATCCCCATGTCGTCCCAATCATGAAGGTATGCTCGAATTTGATTTTGGTTATCGTCTGGCGGTCAATCAGATTTACGCATATTAGGCGTTATCTGGGTTTGATATGTTCGGACTGTTTGATTGACTCCATTTCCAAATATGTTGATCTAGGTACCTCTAGGATCGTGTAGGAATTCACAGATCAATAATCTAGGTTCCGGATGCTCTGATTCAATTACTCAAAGTTTGTGTAAAACGGTGAC